AAATCCTAAATTGTAAGGTTTATTCAGAACATTATCCGTACTCAGAACCGTGCGAATTGCATGAATCTCGAATGCAGTTTACCCCCTATATTAAAGTACAAATGGGTTGAAAAGACCTACCTACCGAGCTACAATATTGGAAAGTTCTTTAACTGAAGTCCTTTCAGTTTAAGAAAAATCAGGTTCCGGGAACTAGGCTCGACAAAATTAGACCGGTTTACTTATCACGACGATTGCATCAACGTTACAACGAATTTGAAATCATTTTCATTTCTATAATTACGATCCTTTTACCTTCAAATGGTATGGCCTGGTAAGAGATAAGAAATCCGCCGTAAGAGTCAAGAGGTCCCTTTTTCGCCTCGATCCACACACTTCGGCCACTCGACGAGAACTTTTTAGTGCTAAAGGTAACATTCAGGCAGTATTCTGATATTAAGCTGCTTAACTCGCTCGGCCCGTCGTGTATCTTTAGGTACATATCGCCACATGGCTTATGAAATAAGAAGATTCCCGCGTCAATGCTGAGCACCTTACCAACTGGTGCCGTAATGTTCCATTGGCAAGTAGAGTTAAACGGAAGCAAAAAAGTACCATTTTCAAGTGAGCGGCTATCTTCTGTGGCCAATAAAGTGACAGTCGAGCTCTGATTGGCAGTACAACCTAAAAAATGGAACGTTAAATTCATGGAAATATCATTCCCAGTCTCGAGTAAATAATATTGTTCAGCTCCTTTTCCGCAGTAAGATGTCTTACAGCAAGTACGGTTTGGAGAAAGATTTCCTTCGTCTTGTCACGAGCGTGGGACAAAGAAAAAAATTCTGAGTCCCCATGGGGAATCGAACCTCAGACCTTCGGAGACTCCACGGTGAGCGACTTCTATTACGAAGTTCATATGACACGCGTCCTGCATACTGCTGGGATCAGCAATGTCGATAGCGTCATGTTTGTAGACAGAATAAGAGAGATGGTAAGTTTTGAGCTCGGTAGAGAAATAGAAAAAGATGCGTGGGACTAGGAAAGAATTCTGAGTCCCCATGACAAATCGAACGGTTTGTTTGCCTTCTCCTCTGCTGCTTTCAGTCTGGACATGCGCAGAAATCAATCAAAAGCCAGTTGTCAAAATTTAAGAATGCGATTAAGCCGCTGACAAGGAGCCTGTAAGACTCGGGGCTCGAGATTGCTTCCTCCCTCTCCCAAATTTCCAGACCGATCCATTGCATGTAACGTCCTTCGCGACTGGTTTGCTGCCCAGGGGTCCAACAAAAAGAGGTGAGACAAACATTCATTCAGAGCATGTCGCTGATCCCATGGAAACCAAATCTCAAACCAAACTGGTAACTACTTCCTCCCTATCCTCCCCCCTCCCCCTTTAATATCACCCTGAGTTCGCAGTTCACAGCTGATTACATCATTCAGGTGGCGAAATGTCAGACGGGCCTGTCGAAGTGAATGGCAACGATTGCTCTCGTTTCATTGATTCATCTAAACAAGACCCAAGAGTGATTTATTTCAAGATTGTAAATATAACAGATTTTCGCAGCAGTGTCACTAATACTAGTTATTCACTAATTTCCAGCGTGCTACAACAATAGTTTTTGTTTTGCTGACTCCATATCTTAAAAATACCTTCAGCAGCCAGTGATTTAAGCAGCAACAATAAACCTGATAAAGAAAATAATGATGATTATTTCAATTATTACGATAAATGTCTCAGATATTATACCATGTATAGATCGAACTATCAAAAACTGGCTAAATCAGAGGAGTGTAATCAGGTCAGCATCAATACACCCGCTAAACTGTGCTTGCGAAGACGAAACCATAATATTTCATTAATTGACAACGTACGCCGAGTTACGTTAGTTAAAGTTGTTTCTTCTACGTGCAAAACTAACCTGAACGCCACGTTTACAGTATTTTTGCACGCAGAAGAAACTCGGATAAAATGTTAGGTTGGTTAGACGGAACTGAAGAAACAGAAGGTTGGCGAAAATTCACACGGGTTTCAAGGCATCGACTTAAAAAAATTATGCTACGTTTAAGTAACCGTAACTAACTCCTTTGAAGCGTTACGTAATAAGACAGCAACGCAAAAAATTCGTCTGTTTGCCACGCTCTTTGGTAAAAAAATAAAATAAAACTATGACTTCAAACACGTTATATCATAGCATTCAAAGCGAAATACGACTGGGATTGAGATGACCTCAGGTAGCCATTTTGTTGTGGCAATAAATTTTTAAAATATTCGTCAATCCTTTCATTATACATTTGTTTTTGTCACATCAAGTCTTTCTTAGAGATAGCGTACATTGAACATCAGGCACATTCGATATGTATGGTCTCCAGAACAGAATGTATCAATTTCCTAATTTTTGGGAAAGCATCTTTCAATCGCCAAAAAATGACAGACCAGCCTTTTCTCAGATTGAAAGCGCATAATAAATCTTCGTCTAGTACAAAAAAATAAAGGTACGGACGCCTGAACTAACGGTTTGCAATTTCACACAGTCAGAGCATTGAAATCTCTGATGTTAGCGATTGATTATATGAAAGGCGAAATCTCAATTCGCGGCGTTCTCTAAGTTTTATTCCGATGAAATTGACGCCGGACAAAGTAAATATATATCAGGTGATAGAGTAAACGAAGAGCGCGTGCATTTTTTTTTAATATTCTAACCTTGCATAAGTGCACTGCGGGTGTTCAGAAAACCTAACATTTAGGAACGAGCGCAACTTCGCTGGCTTTATCGAATAAAACTTACCAAAGTAAGGAATCATCCTTTATCCTTCCTCGAGGGCAAGCCCTCTACTTCGTAAGTTCTGCAAATGAACGGCTTATCTCTCGTCTGTCAAGCGTACGTGTCAAGCGATGTCAAAGATAGAATTATGTATTTAAAGTAACGCCATGCAGTCAGTCACGGTTTCGTCACAGCTAAAATGTAGCCAAACTGTGGGACAAATTAAAGGAAAATAGTTTGAGCTATCGCACGTTGTACTGATTTATAGTCAAGTTCAACTTCATTTTCATTCAGTTATAATGGATGTTAAGCTGTACCGCAGCCTGATGTCAGAAATAAGACAAGAATAAAACTTATCAGTTCGAAATTTTTACTACCAGCTAATTATTGTTTGAAAAGGTCACCCAGCATAATTAGGTCTTTTGCCCGAGTTAAACCTAGTTAATCCTACCTTTCACATATCAATATGCATGATCAGATGTACATACATAGATCTCGTATTGTTCAAATGTGGCTTGCTTCGCAAGCAGGCAATTGAGATATAGTGAGTACTGTGTTCTGATTGGCTAATGGATCTAGCTTGCCCCCTCCTCACCACGCACAAAAGAGAAAACATGTGGTGTAGGACACACCTAATCAACTAAGGTTTCTGTTCGAAATATCTCGGGGTTTCCCTGTTTGTTTCTTATGTTTTCCCTCGAAATTTCGCGTTGAGACTTTGGCGTGTAGCCAGTCATAGTTTCCCACCACGCATGCCCTACGTTTGACCGCTGTGTCTTGTTTGCGCCCGCAGGACCTAATCCCTTGGGATTTTCAAGGATGACTTAGCAGTGGCAAGAATCTTTCGTTTGCATGAAGAGTCTCACTCTTTTTTATTTCGATTGTAGGGGGCTGTAAACGGACTTTGTTTGCATGTCTTTCTTTCTTGTCCTTTTACAATGTCCACCGGTTCGAAACTGTAAAATCTGTAGAATGTACGCGAATAAAGCCTCTAAGGTTGGATCCATATTAGAGAAGGTTTCTTTAAAAGGTTTTTGTGTTTACTGCACCATTTTTAAGGAGATGCGAATGGTAATTTCCACTGAATTGAAATAAAACATATTCAGTGTCTCTTCGAAATACACCATTGATTTCATTGTGTACGTACCCCTACCTGAAATATATGGCAAGGAAATTTTAATTGTAGGAAGTTTCGAAAAGAGTATTTTGCACAATTGTACATTTTCAGTGTATACTTTTTTAAAACCGGCCCTCGCTTCCTCTGGATCGACACAATTTCCTCGGTCTTACATTTAACACGTTTTACCATTTTTTAGCAAAAAAAAAATTGAATTTCATCGGCTGAGTGAAACTGTCATTTAGTCCTCAATTGATTAAAATAATAAAAGGAACTCCATTATTTTTCACTTTCAAATAGCTTTAGCTTAATAACCACCAAATGCGATAAACTAAACCTTACTGCTTATCATGTTGGACTTTAAACAATGTAAATGGAATCGTTAAATTTATCTTGAATAAATTACCAAGGACATTATGAAATTTTGAGAAATGCTGGAGTGTTTTATTTATCCATCCGTCTTTTTTGCGATGCACCTTCTTAGGCGATAAGAGCATCTCTCTAACCTTTCTTTGTTGGTTTTTTCGTGTTTCTTAATTTTTGCAATTAAGCGTGGTGACGTGGATAGTTTTTAAGATTATCTAGTCTTAGTAGGGGTTCGAAACTCCATTCAGAGACCATGCTAAGTGCAGTATAAACGAGTCATAAATAGGCTACAACGAAAGCGTGCGAGTTTGCATGTGAGGTACTGTTGGCAGGGACCACTGTCAGCGCGCATTCCAGCGAAGATTCCTTCAATCACGAAAAGTTGTCGGCCACAGATACGCTTGTAAATGCAAGGCGGAATCAAAAAGTCAAGTTATGTCATGGCTGGATGGACGATGGTACATGTAACTACAGACGACGTTATGTTGTGAATCAGACGTCAAAGGCTAGTAATTAGGGACTTCTATTTGAAAACGATTTAGTGCAAGATTTTTTGTCTACAATCGAAACCTCTCATGAATGTTTGTTGCAAGATGAACTCAAGTGAAAAGTTCTGCGTCGATTCTACTTTATCAAACGAATTGGCTCGTTTTAAACTAACACCAACCATCTATAACATCTTGGTAGGTGTATGCGTCACAAATGGTCTCTTATCGCCAATCGCAGTGGCAGGAAATGGTCTCGTTCTTGCTGTTATTCTGAAGTTTCCAAGTCTTCAAACTAACTCGAATCTTCTGATATTTTCGCTTGCTACAACAGACATTCTCGTCGGTGCGGTGGTACAGCCCTCGTTCATTGTGTACATCGTTAGTAAATTAAGATTGGACTTCTCCTGCATGGCTTTTATGTCGTACTTATATACCGAGATCTTCAGTCTCGGGCTGTCTATTTTAATGTTAACCCTCGTGTGTTGCGATAGATACTTTGCTATAGTTTTTCCATACAAGTACATCACTCGCGCCACGAAGAAACGAGTCATAAAAACTGTGGTTATTTTCTGGGGCTCGTGGTTTCTGTTCAACGTTATATGCAGAGCAGTGAGAGTGAAAAACGACGAGTTCTTTTCACCCGTTGCCTCCGTTGTGATCGCAGTTACTTTCAGTTTGAACATCGTTTTGAACTTCAAAATTTTCCGCATCGTGAGACTTCACAAACGACAGATTCTTTCCCACAACCAAGTCATCATTGACTTTAAGACACGAGAAAATCCTGAAGGACAAGGTAAGACGGAAAGCGACAACCCACGGACCCGTTCACAAGACACACGCATGGCTGTCACAGTGTTGTTAATTTCCGGGGTACTCATTATCTGTTATTTACCTCTTATGTTGACTTCGGTGGCGGATATGATAGTAGACAGAGATGATATCTTCGATCACGTTATTTATCCATTAGCAGAGACTGTAGCATTTCTTAATTCTTCTTTAAATCCGTTTCTCTATTGTCTGCGGTTCAAGGAGCTAAGACACAAAGTGAGTCAGCTTTTAAGGATTTCGACCGCCTCCAATGAAAACAAATGAATTTATTAAAGGCAAGAATACATGTAAAATTAAAAAAAATTGGGCATCAGTGTAATCTGTGAAGTTTTTATGTGATAACTTTTCACCCGTTACATCCGTGATCGCAATCATTTTCAGTTTGCACATTGTTTTAAACTTCAAAATTTTCCGCAAACTCGTTGTCAAGCTTCCTTTTCTTGTCGCTCCCGTAGAGAGAGAAATACCTTGGGGGTATCTCTTTGTCGTCACAGGAAGCGGGATAAATTGACAAAAACCTACGTAGTTTTCTATTTTTTAGGCAATGTCTATTTTTTCGGACTCCGTTAGCAGTAAATACTACCTAAAAACCTAATCCTTACCCCAAAAGTTTTGCCAAAGAAGCTTGCGCTAAGAAACCACCTGGCACACCCAGAGAGCCAGTCAAAACAAAGCATTCGCTTTATCTTGCTCACCTGAGGAGTTAGCGATAAAACTCCTTACGAAAATGTATTGGTAAACTTCATGTAAACATACACCAGGAACTATGGGCGGCCCATAAGGAACCTTCTCTAGAACTTTTTCATAGATTACATAAACTAATTTTAACACATTCCTCTCCATTTCTTTTCCAAAATACCAAACCGTTTCGTTAGCCCATAACATTAGGATAACACACATATTTTTGAATAGCCATTCCGAACTCTGATTGTATTCGTTCAAGGGTTTTTAAACCAGTTTACACTCACTTTACTTGGTTCGTTTTACCGCTTGATAGTCTCGTACCCAGACCTTCCACGGCCCAGCGGTTGTTACAATTAAACGGTAGTAACTGTGTGCGAGATTAACTGCTAACAATGCTTCTAACCATAAAATTAAAAAGATTTTCTAAGAATTCTTGGAAATAAGAATTACTTGGTTTGAGGGTGCACGTGTTTAGAGGTAACTTCAAGTCATTCATGATTGGCGTTGGTCAGTCGACACGACGAGGACACTTAGTGGTCTGTTATACCACCTATTTAGAACAGAAGAAATGCCTCAGCTTAGCTTTCAGTAAATGAGTTTCATGTTAAGGGAGCGTGAAAGGTCAAGAACGAAAATAACTTTATTTTCCTTAGCTTAGAAACTGCATGGTGGCATTTTTTGCGTACCTGAAAACAGTACGCGAACATAACCCGAAAGGAGGAGCTGTTTAGACCTCAGAAACGGTTGCGTGACTTCGGTTTTCTTTACAGAGAAGAGAGCAGAATTTTGCGTTCCCACCGTCTGTGAGTTTTTGAAAGCAGCAATGTCCTTTATTTTAGGTGGGTAAAAACATTGTTAATGATTTTAGATAACTACCGCAGAATCTATCATGGTAACCTTTCATATAAATGACATTTCTTTGCTCGGATTCACATGCCACGACAGCTGAATTGGCGGCTGTGGGTACTTTCTTGTTTACATGTCTTTTAGTTAAGAGGATCCCTGATTTTCTCGCATGAAATAACCCCAATTAAACGGAAGTAGACGAGAGATTATATCTCTCATAGTTACTGAATTTTATGGAAGTAATCTTATTAGCAAATACGCGAACTTTTACACGTCCTCTCCGCAAGATTTTGTACAAAACAATACCTCACAGGTAATTTTAGAGTTGAGTTGAAAACGTAAATTTACCACCGTAAAGAGTTT